GTCTTTAATCAGGGGAGTTGAAACGGCTGCACACAGTGGACTTTTTTTTTAAACTCAACTGTTCTTGAGTCTGACTCGGTGCCATGATGGTTAGGTGCTCGTTAGCGCTGTTGTTAATCACAGCGAGCGTCGGTGTTTGTCACGTCACGTACAAGAGACTCACCAAACCTCAGGTAAGCGGACCCATAAAAACACCTGCTGTTTGTTTGAATAGTCCCGACACGGTAAAAAAAAAAAAAGAAAACAAACGAGTGACGTTGAGTAAACTGTCAAGCTTTTTACAACTTAAACATTTGCGAAATAAATGTTGTTTCTTTCTTTGTTTCTAGCTTGTGGAAGCACTGGTTTTTAACACATTAATCCTGAAATAGTGACTTGGAAAAACAATTCTCACTTGGACATTTTTTTTTGCCTGCAGCTTTTGAATATGATAGTTACACTGTTTATTTTTATTCCAACTATTCTGTATGTTCCTTCCTCTGTCTAGATCTTGGGTTTCGACTGGAAGAACTGCGGCCAGCCCAACGACCCCGCTGTGATGAAAACCCTGGCCGTGTCTCCAGACCCTATCTCCATCCCTGGAGAACTGACAGCCACAGCGTCAGGATCCACTGCAGTCGAGCTCACCGCTCCACTCTCTGTAAGTGTTTGCATCCTGCCTTTATCAGGCAGCAGAAACTCCAGTTGGTGTCGTCATAGTTATCTATTTCAGCCACCGCAAACAACTGTCTTGTGAAATGTCCTGTGAGTTGGTGGGATGTGTCTGAACCTGCAGCTGATCCTGTGAACTTCATGTTATCTTTATGGGCCAATCAGCAAACAACAACAAAAACAGTTAAAATTCACAAGGCAGGAACTTGTCAGGTGAATGTGACTGATCCAGACACACTATTCAAATGTTACCATTAAAGGTGTGTCAGTGAAATTTCAACCCACAGCTCCCAGCCCTCCTAAAGGCTGTGTTTTCAGTTCAGCTTTAGCGGCTAACGCTGAACAATCTTATTCCTCATGTGACTTCTGCGAAACACATTGTTACATTTTTTTTATTGTCTGTTCCTTGTTGCAGTTTGTGTTTTTTTTTTTTATGCAGAGTTATAAAAGCCCAGGTCAATTCATCTGTATGAGGAAATGCACTGTGTTGTTTTCATACTTAAACTGCAAGTTAAATAATTAATAATTTATTGTTTAAATATATAAAGTACGTACATGGAGAAAATATATAATTGTTTTAACAATGCTCTTCAGTTTATAAATAATAATAATAATAAAAAACTTAAACCTAAAGATTTGTGAAGAATGAGTCAGAACCACAGTCAGGTTTAAGAGTTGAACGTTGAAGGTTGACTATCATTTAAAGAGAAGTTCCGGTGATTAGATCTTTGGTTTAATAACCACAAGAGGTTCTGAGCCTGAAGAAGTGAAAGTCACAGCTCCACTTCTGTTTTCTTCAGTTCCCTGTAGTAATAAATAATAAATAAAGTTGAGGTCGACTTTACTATCAATTCCACCGTATGCACAGAAGATTTAGGATTTAATTCCATCTGCCTCTAAAGTTCACATTAGACTTGGTGAAACATTATTTTCTCCTCCTCCTCCTCAGTTAAACGTGATCCTGGAGAGGGAGGTGGCAGGTTTCTGGGTGAAGGTGCCATGTGTGGAGGAGTTGGGCAGCTGTCACTACCCGGACGTGTGTGATATTCTGGACCAGGTGATCCCACCTGGGCTGGACTGTCCTGAACCACTGCGCACCTACGGGCTGCCCTGTCACTGCCCGTTCAAATCAGTGAGTGTTGAATTTGATGCCAGAAATAAAAAAAAAACACACAAATGGAGAATTCTTCTTTTGGGGAATTAGATGTCGAGTCTCTGAGCACATGTACAGTAACAAGAAGCACATTCACGCTAGAGTTGGTTTGAGGAAACACATTTATTTTCATATGTAAAACCAGATCTGCCCTCAGGTCCCAGTACAGATCACTTCCTCGACCAGCTGCAGTTTCTCAGAGACCTCAAGGTGTTTCAGTTCCTTCTAGCTGTCTATATGTCTGTCTGTCTGTCTATCCACCCACAAACTACAGGGGAATGTTACCCTTTTTCTCACGGTGCTGTACACCTCCAGACAACAGAGTGTCAAAACGTGAAGGTACACGTGTGACTTTGTGACACTACTACTGATGATGATGATGTAAAACAGACCTGTGGTGTTGTATCTTACACTGAAGGGTTTCCCCATCTGTGACACCTGAACCTTGAACTCTCCCCCTCCCTTGTTTCTGTCTCCTCAGGGCTCCTACTCTCTGCCCAAGTCTGACTTCTACCTGCCGGACATCGAGCTGCCCTCCTGGCTGACCAACGGACACTACCGGGTCCAAGGTGTTCTGGGCATGAAGGGCACACAGCTGGGCTGCCTCGAAGTGACCTTCTCTCTTCACAGCAACTAACGGAGCGCCAACGTAAGCCTGAAGGTTTGAGGGTTTGATTGATAGCACAGAAACAATGTATTTTAACCTACAGGTGAATATGTCCCTGATTTAAAGGTACAGTGCACATCAGGTGAATATGTCCCTGATTTAAAGGTGCACATTTTAATGTCAGGCTTTTTTCTTTCTTTCTTTCTTTTTTTTTTTACTCATCTGTGCCATTTCTTTTATGCAGCCATTAAAAAGTGTTAAAGTCCTTTTTTTCACGTCAGTATATCATTTGGAATTTGGATTCAGACCAGAAACTTTGGCTACAGATTTTAGATGTAACTCAAACTCATGCTGGAAAACTTTGACATAGACTCATTGCTACAGATGTAACAGGTAAGAATTATTATTATATAATATTTTAATTGAAATGCGTCATAAACATCATAAAGTTTGTAGGTACTGTTAAAGACTAAATGCAGCGAGAATAGGGTGAAATGTTGATCTTTGACCACTAGAGGGCAGGCTTTAAACATCTTCATAACGACTCAACGCTGTGCCTTTTTTGCTGATTTGAGTAAGTGATTTGTACTCGGTTATTATGAAATCTGCTCGAGGAATAAAAATGCGACGAACTTTTTTTATTAAAAGGAAATCTTTAGTCAGTGAGATTTCATTTTTGGTCATTGTTTTTTTATATTAGTTGATTGGCCCTTTTAATGTCTGTTGCATTTTAGTTTTTTAAATTTTGGATGACACATTGTATTGTAATTTCTGTGTATATTATTTTTATATGTTGTCTTTAATGACTTATTTTTGATTTAATCCTCCACAAAGCAATGCAATATTTTCTATTTTCTAAGTCATACATCTGGTCTGTTTTAAACATGTACATTTTTAATAAACTTTTTCACTTTAATCCAGTGTTTATTCATAACAACAGTTAATATTGTTCTGATACCAGAGAATAACGTGAAAACATTATGAATGTGTAGAGCAAAGTAAAGATGCAATAATAATTTCTACCAAAGTATGACACGATTTTGCCTGAAAAGAAATGCCAGAAATGCACTTAACCATGGAAAACTGGATGTAAGTCAGCAAGAGGGACGCTCACTTTTAAAGTTTCAATATGGAAATTTGAGAAAAAAAAGTGCGTAGTTTGACGATGATCTAAGAAAAATATATATATTTATAAGTATATAAGTTATTATAAATATATAAGTTATTGAACTGAGTCGATTTCGTACTACATATACTGTTTAGAACGTAATACATAAGGTAGCATTTTACGCGTTAATGTAAAAGAACATTTTAGGGGGATGGTTGCAACGAATCTGGCATCCCACGCTTACCCGACGTCAGTGCTCTGCTGCGGATGTTTAGTGTGTTTGCGAGCAGAGCTTTTCGACTGCGCTACGGTAAAGGCTAGTTAGCTTCACAATAGTTGAATAAGACGGCCACATATGGAGTTCTACCGACACAAAGAAGCAAATCCCTGACAAACCAGGGTGTTAAACCATCTTCAGCCTGGTGAGTAGATCCACATTCACCCCACATATCCCTGGTAGATTATATCAACATAACACGAAGCTAGCTACGGCTAATGCTATGCATGTGAGGGACTGGGTTTTAAAAACACCAGCAGGTCCTGTTGTTTGTTGCTCTTTACATTTACTAGCACGTACTAAAACGATTCAGGTTGAAAATTTTCTTGGATAGAGTTAGCACATGTGCTAATGTCTGCAATGTTTATGAGGTTTAAAACGCCATTTGTGTTTGTAAAATAGCACTGTTGAATTGGTTGATGGCGAAATGTCTGACTGTGAAAGGACACATTATTATTATTTCGTTATCTGAAAGAATAGATTGAAATAAACGTCGATGGCTCAAGTAAATAATCTAATAAAACCGATTTACAACTATATCATCGATTTACAACTAGCTAGTTGTTAGCTGTATATTTATCTGTATATTTATCAGCTCGAGCTACAGTATTTACCAATCGTATTAAAATGTTCCAACAGAATGTATTGTTAGTGTTGCAAGAAAATGTCTATTGTAGATTATCAGGTTGCACACAGTTGATATACATTATATACAGTGCTAGTCTTGTAGGCTAGGTACATTATTATAGGTTACAACGTAGTGTTTGAATTTGTTTGTTATACAGCAGTGATGAATAAGAAGTAAATATTAAAAAGAGGAGCGTCATGTGGACAGTGTTAAAACAAGTAGTGATTCGCTTTTAATCATTGATTATAAAAATACTCCAAAATATATTTCAGATTTCTGCTATAGTGTGTTTTGCAGTGTTTTAGCTGAAGTGCTATAGACTACAAATTGGGGGGAAATGATGAATAAAAATCACAACTGCAATTTTGTCTGAGTTCAAAAATAGCTGAGATGTTGGTACTGATGTTTAAAGTTATGGGAGGGTGATGAAAGTGGGATCTAAAAGTTTTTTATTGTTTCTAAAATTTGGGACATGTTTTTGTTTGTTGACCCATTTGTTAAACCTTATCTAAAATCATCGTACAAACATCGTGCAGTCTAACCTACCATGATGTGTTTAAAGTCACTGGGTGTGTCGCAGGGTTTAAAACAATTGCTCGTTCTCCACCACCGCACATTTGTGTCATCCACTTCTGAAGCAAACATGAACCATGGTACTTTTTTTTTTTTTAACAACAGTACCAGGTTTTTTTTTTTTTTTTTTTTTACAACAGTACCAGGCTCTGAAAGCAGTTCTGCCCTCACTCTTTCACTATCCCTGCAGCTTGATAGCATCTGGACTGGGTGGTGGTCCTCTCCAGCTACTAATCAGTGGTCACCCAGGGCTTAGATGCCATTTTTGTGGCCGGGTGATATGTTGACACAACTGGTCTCAGCCTGTCTTTTACAGCCTCGTCTTGATCCCTGAGACTATTTTTACTGCCTCTGGTCTCCACCAGTACTGATTATCTGTATTGTTTTCTCACCCCGCCGGTGATCCGGCCCTGAGCCGGAACTGGTGACTTAGCCCCCCCCCCTCTCTCTGCCCTCCTTACCCCTCCTGTAGGGGACTACACTAACCAGAGGCTTTTCAATCATCTCCACCCACACCCCTTGTGTTTATCCAGATGTGTATATCAAGTTTTTGTCCACCTTATCATTTAGATGAAATGAGACGGTGCGTGTTCACCCACACACTTTAATTTAAGGTAAAGAAGGGGGTTCTGTGTGATTTCCTGTAAATGTCCACATGGAAATCGGCTTCATGGAGATTTATATCCACCAAATAATTATAGTTTGACTTTGGGGTTTCAAAAAAGGACTCGTATGCATTTGCTGTTTCTGTTGCTGTGCTTGTTTTGCAATATATATAATTGTTATATCGAATAAACAAACAACAGATTTTAATAGCTGTAAAATATGTAACATCTCAATTTTCTGTCATTTTTTATTCCACAGAGACATTGGCATTAGTCATAAAGCTATAAATAATAGTATTTCTATTAGTACAGTAATTTGAATAGATGACATGTTATTGGATCCCGGAAAAGTTTCTCCTACATTTTGGATTTGTTTTGAAGCAGAATTGATTCAATTAGTTTCCACATTTTCACAACGTAGCCTATAAATCTGCATCAAAATGAAGATAAAATTCCAATCTGAAACATGTGACTTTGGAGCTGTTGTA